GCAAATGCGCAGCGTAACCCTGGTATCCTTGACCTTTATAGGCATAGCCAAGAACTTATACTTCTCCATACTTGCACAGCTTGTGCTAACACTTTTGGTTACATTCTTGGGTCTCCCATGTCAATCAAGGGTTCCTTATTTTCTTGAGAATCTGGAACAGCTCTGTTAAGGAGTCCAAATTCATGATAGCGCACTGGAAAGTCGGCTCAAAACTAAAGAGGTTCTAGAACCTCTCTACTCTAAATCATCAGTAATTCGAATAACACACGATTTTTTTCACTATTAGATAAGCATAATTGAAATACATAAACCAATTATCATGATTTTATTGCAATTATAAGAATTAATTTCATTTCATAAGTGACAAAAACTATAAAATTGACGGGGCTTACAACAACAAGCAACAACCCAACAAACATTGGAAGCGGACTAAGAGCTTATTCAGGCAAAAATATGCTTCTTCAGTTAAAAAATAGCTTATTCAGCCCTTAATAAGCACAAATTGTTTGTTGGGAACACTAGCAACCGGTAACTACGATGGAAATTATACAAGATTAAAAATAATTTAAAATACTTAAGAATACTTATAAGAGATTTAAACATATTTAATGTATACTAGTACTAAAGTTTAGAGTGGGATGCCCCTAGTAAAGAGACGACATCTTATCGATTTGACAGGTCTTCTGATCGATTGGAATGACTTTTCCTACACGGATAGAAATCTCCTTATACCTTTAGGCAAATTTCTATTGCTGATTATTCATAAAATGTATAAGTCAACTAATAAACAGACGCCTTGCAAAAAGTTAATGAAGATCATGTGTCAAATGAAATGTATAAGCGGTCACACATACCTTTTATGCATTCTTATAGGACCTGTGTGGTTTGTCTTATGGTATGTATAAGGCTGATGTTTTGGCAAAAATGTATAAGTGAAACACATAAATAAAATAATTGATTTTCGTTTCGTGTATGACTTCGACAGACAATCGATTGTTCCAATTTTGACATATCGCCTCTTTAGTTTAGACGAGTTCACTACAACTCCTTCTTCCTTAAGTTTTGAATACAAAATACTTTAAGTGAATAAATGCTTGTAAATTCAACAGCTTTTAATTCACTTAAAAAAACTCATAAATCGAAAAACAGAAGGTTCTGTCAAATATTTAAATTGCTTATTCCAAAATTTACTAAACTTTAATTAATTTAAAACAATGTTCGATACTATCAATAATAGTGAAAATCTTCTTTTCTTCGCTTCTTATGTTTTCTCTTAGATTTTCTAATCGATTCCATCCCTAATAAAAATTGTATGGTTAATTTGCTTAACGACGTGTTCTGGGTATCATCCAAACGATTTGTGGAATAGTTCAATGATTTGGGTTATCGGTCGTTTATGGTTGTTTTTTATTAGGGATAGGTTGCGAAAATTGTGGTAGTTCAGTCGATTCATTCGATAGGGGTTCTTCCTCCTTGTAGATAAACGAATCAGCAGCGAAACCATAAAATTCTGGATCTGCTTCCGCATCTTCCCCGAAGTATTCTTCATCCTGGTTTCGTTTTCTTTTGCTAGTTCTAATGTTGCAATCGTTTTGTGCGCTGGTGCTGGTTCAACTAAATTCTCTCCTTGGAAAACGTCACTTCTCTTCGTTTTCCGGCGAGAATGTATTGGTGCCTTGATCTGGCGCACGCTATGTCTGAAGGTACTTTTTTTGCAACTTTGATGTACCTCAGTTTTATCTTCCCAGGAAGTTAGTATTGATCCGAACAATCAAATCTGTGAAGGTTTTAAAATAGTTCATCTTGGGTTTTTTGAGAAAAAGTATTTTGAAGTATACTTAGCCGTTTATGAAGGCGTATATAGACTATTGGCGAAACAAAACTGTTACGAATCGAAATAAGTTCAGCTGAAAATAATTCAAAAGGGGATTGAAGAAGTCAAAATATTAAGTTTCAATGATACAGTAAGATTTCTTCTTCGGTACCGTCAGATATCGTAGCGTTGTCATGATCTTATAATGTTTAAATTTAATAATAAAATAATTAAAGAAATATCCCTAAATTTACTATTATCCCGCCGTTCCAAAGCAAAACGATATTGTGGTTCTCAGATTTTGGACAAAATTGTAGTTTTGTTTCTTATCACAATTTTTTATTTATTTTGTCATTAGGGTGACCATTTCAACGTTAGGGTGGCCCAAAAAAACGATTTTTTTTTAAATGCCTTTTTCAAAAAATCATAACTATTGACACACTAGGCCGATTTCAAAGTTCAAAATATTAAATGAAATGATAAAAAGAAACAACTGTAATAAAACATTTGAATGATGTTAAAAAATTGAAAAACATTGATTGTTTTGCTCATGCCTTCGATCACATTTCACAAGGAAAGCGTAAAAGAGAAATAGGTATCGCAAGACATTTTCTCTATTATACCTGATTTCTAAGGCATGGAGTGAGATTTGTTCCACCAACGACCCGATGAGACAGCTATTAGAAGTTACATTCAAATTATAATAACCGGACATTTTTTTCCTTCATTTCGTTGAACTTCGATGAAATTCTTCAATCGTTCCGGATGTTATATGAACGTCTCTGAGTTTCGCTTTTTTCCTGATTTTCTCAGATATTTCATAAAGTTCACAGTACTTTCCAAATGTTATTAAATGATCCTTGTTGTTCACAGACCATCCTAAAGTTTGCAAAATTTTTCTCACGTTTAAAGAACTTTTTGCAGAGCATTTCATATAATATTGCTATAGTTCACAGAAGTCTCTTGAAGTTCGTTGAACTTACCAGGAGGACATTGAACTCCTCTGAAGCTCACAAAACGTCCCTGAAGTTCGCAGAAGTTTCCTGAAGTTTATAGAACTTCTCCTCTAAAGACCAAAGCACATCTTTCAAATTTGAAGAATTTCTTGAAGATTGTAGAGCTTCCCTGAAGTTCAATGAACTTCTCTAAAATTCAAATACTGAATTTCACTGCTTATTTGGAAGAACTTCTTTAAAGTTTGCAGAACTTTCCTTATATTCATTTAAGATCCCTACAGTTCGCAAAATTTACTAGAAAGTCACTGAACCTTCCTGAAAGTTTCCTTAGACAAAATATGGGAAGTGCAATTCTGTAGTAATTCAAGGAGAGGGCTACCTAATGTCACTGAGCAAGAGGAGCTAATCTCATGTGAGTTTCATTCCTGTATTGTCGACATTATAGGATAAACGATTTTCAAACAAATTCGTCATGGTTTTCAGAATTTATTTTCGATCTCACCGTTGAATCAAACATCTCTATTTATTTTTAAAAATCCTAGAAAATTTTCCACCCCTCAGGACAAATGCCACCTTCGCCACCTACTGAGTACGGGACACAAAACATCTGGATACCTGCCATATCCTGTATTGAACTCCAGTAAAAATCTTTCAACGATCGTCGCTTCTAAAGTGTCATGATTTTTTTTTACATAGTCGCTTTTTCGAAGCACATTAAGCGAACTATTTTATTTCTTCATGATTCCAGATTTTCTACACGATACATCTATTGAAAAAAACACTCAAAACAGGACGAAAACCAATGCCTACTATGATTACGTAGCTGTCACGGACTGTCCTGCTCGTTTTTTTTTCTTTTACTCTTATGAGGAAAGAGAAATTAAATAAGATGTTGTGCTACCAACAAAAATGATTTTGCGCAAAGTCGTCATAATCAATATGGATCTTACTTACAAAGAGAACTTCTTTAATGCCATTTGGATTCATTAAATCAACTTTTGAACAGTATTTAACTGCATTTTTTCAATTCATTTGGTCCATAGTCCATATAAGTCTTCATAATCTGCTATGTAAACTTCAAAACACGTTTTCTCAAAAAATCCAAGTTGAAATATTTTAAAACCATCACAGATTTGATTGTTATGATCAACACGAACATCCTGTGAAGAAAAATCAGAGGTACATGAATGTTGAGCAGAAATGATCTTGCCGCCGAGGGAGACTTTTCATCCCGTCAACTAATTTTTCATCCTTGAGTGCGTTGATTTGTTCTAGCTGAGTAACTGGGCTACTAAAAGTGTTTCTCCATCCAGAGTAAAAAATGTCAAGCCATGTTCGCCCCATAAGCGGCACAAAATCGTTCTCAAAACGTAGGATAATCAAATTATGTTGTTTCGTTCTGTTTCCTAGCTGCACCTGGACTTCCGATTTCCAAAGAACTTTACCTTTACTTTTACCGTCTATCACAACAAGCTTTTTATTGCACTGTTCAATTGCTACGTTTTTAAAGTTTCTCAAGAACAGTTCCTCGGATATTGCACTTTCTGCCGATCCACAATCGACCTCCATAGTCAATTTCTTTCTTTTTATAGTAGCTTCAACATAGCACGGCTCATTTATTCTATTTACTGAGGAGATCATCATGCAATTCATGCTTGTATCCTCCTCACTATCCGAATTCAAATCCTTTTTAAGACGTATAAAAAGACCTGAAATTCCTGAAATAGGAGGTTTCGGCGAATCTACAAACTTAACACTCCGGAAATCCATACGCGGACTCTTCCCTTTTAATCGGTAGCAATATTTCCCAGTGTGTCCTTTTTTCTTACAAAAAGAACATAAAAATGTCGGCTTCCCAGAATGCGTTCTTCTTCTATCATCGTATCTACTCCTGGATGAAAATGAGCGATTTCTATCATTGCTTCGACTAACACTCCTATCTCTTTGCCTAGAAGCAGACCGATCAGGCCTACGCCTACGGTATTATGAAATTCTTAAATTTATTAGCCTCAGTGTATGAGTTCCTGCAGGTTTTCCCAAATATGAGTAAATTTCTTATAAGACGAGAAAATGCTGTGTCAACTGAATTCAGTCGCTGAGTCACTCCGATTGGTCGTGCGTGCGTATGCCAAATGGGTGGATTTTTTTCCCGAAGGGGCTAGAAATTATGACAGCTATCAACTTGATGATGGTTTTGACCGAAACGTCAAAGATCCATAAACTACTCGCTTGATGTTGTGACAACTTCAGTGGAGGGTTCAGGAAATTCTTCTGAAATTTCTAAAAATTCTAGGATATCTTGCCAACATTGAAAATGCTCCTGGAGTAATCATAGCTGCTAAAAAATCACAAAGTTCTAATCTTCCAAATATTATTAGAAATTACCATCATCCGCTATAAATTCATAGCGCACTCATTGAAGATGTCTCTGGAACCCTCGGCTTGTGAAGGTAAGCAACCATAGTTCAGTGTTGTTCAATGATAACCGATCGTACTCTTGAAAATCAATAATCTCGTTGCAGACCTGAAAGCCTTCGAACGGCGTCTGACAGAAGTTATAGCAGCATTACAGCCCTCGACCCTACGATGGAGGAGTAAGTCCGCTTGGTGCTCCCTCGGCACTTTTAAATCACTAATTCCTTTCCACTTCATTGCAGTAGTCTTATGTACCATGTCCCTTATTACATTCGTGGGAGCATTCTACTGGCTGACTGATCCTCGTACTTCCATTGTCCCATTGATGGATTCGCTCTGGAACCATCCAGTATTCACGTTTTCAACTGCAATACTCTGTAAGTCACAAATTCACTACTCTTAATCGGGCAACAAACTGATCTAATTACCCTTCTTCCAGTGCTGCTGTTCGTCTTTGGAATCCACAAACTGGTGATGGCACCGCAAATCATAACGTCCCGCACCCGAAGCGTGCTGGCAGAGTTCAACATGTCCTGCGATGAAACGGGCAAACTGATCCTGCGGCCGAGGCCCACCAACAATTCGCGGTACATGGATATGAGCTAGAATGCAACGCTCGATTTTTTTAAATTTCCTCCCAAAAGCAAGAAAATGCTTTACATGTTAAAAGTGTTTTTTTTTTCTCTTTGCATTTGTGCTCCTTTTTGAATCTCTATTTTCCTCCTTTCCAGATTCCATTGTTTGTGAAGATGTCCCTTTCTTTCACTCCAACACCCTACGTTTTATGTTATGTTTCCCCCTCTGTTCTCTTTTTCTTCGTCTGCACTTTCGTAGATTTAGCAACGGTAGTGGCACCGTCCGTAGTCCGAAGAAGACGAAACGTTAGTGTGGATTGGCCCTACGGGAGAACAAAAACCGACCCACGCGGAAGGAAGCTTAGAAAAACAAAATCTGTAACCGGGACACGATGGTTTTAATAGGATCCAATTGTAAATAGATGTTTTTTTTCTTGCATTTGTATTGCCGAAAATTCTACAAATTTAGCTATTCATTTATAACTGTATTTTTGATCTATGCATTCGGAGTGTTCGGTTTTAGAGTTTTCAAGGATAAGGCAAATAAAGACCTTTGTTGAAAAAAAAAGTGGTGGTGTTTTAAATGGTTTGGTGCCTTTCTTCAGTCGGAACTTATAAATTAAACAACGTGATTTTTATTGACTATCTAAAAAAATCCAAAGAGCTGCAACTTTTAAGTTTGAGCGTCAAAATTTCATTAGGCTTTTATTTGCTCAATTGATTCGTTGTACTTCAAGAAATAACAATTTTAAAAAGGGTTAGTTCAGTGAGAAATGTTTTATAAAAACTGCTCAAACTTCAATCAAGCTCAACTTCTTCTTCGCATTTCAAGCTTATTGCTTATCGCATATTTAGCATTGTGTGGCAATTACAATCATACTCATATGTTCAGGGAAATCGATAAATTTTCCAATCCGAAAAAATCCTAGACCGGACCGGAACTCGAACCCAGCCACCTCCAGCATGGTTTTGCTTTGTAGCTGTGCCTTTACATACTGAGCTATGGGAGGCCTGATCAAGCTCAATCAATACCGATATAGCAGCCAAATTATCAGAAATTTGGGTGTTCAGACTGGAAAGTTACAGCTTTAAACTTTTTTGGAGATTAAAAAATTAAAGGGTTGTGTCCTAGACACGACCGCAGTATGACGTAGAACCACGCAAAATTGATGTTTGTTTTGACTTTAAATGATCTTTATTTCTTGTGTTTGTGTGGTTTACATGTATGAATTTTTAAGTGACACAGATGCGTATTTTCAACTTTAGTACATTTGACATTTTAATTATTAATTACAGTTCCTAGTCCTATCAGGCCTGTTTTAGAGAATGACCACCTCTTGGTGGGATTGGTTTGTTTTAAATTGAAAAAGGAAACTACTTATAACTACTATTTACAATTACAACTACTATATACATCTAATCTACTATATACAAAATCAAAGCATGTTCTGATAAAATACATTTTTGTGCAAATTTTGTGTTAATTTCGTTAATTCTGGAATCTATTTTGGCAATACCTGCCTCTTCGTGTAAATTTGTTATTCTAGTGTCGAAAGGACGATCAAGAACCATCCTCAGCACTCTATTCTGAGCGACCTGAATTTTGTTCCTGTGAGTCTGTGCACATGATTCCCACACCGGAGCTGCGTAGAGGATCGCAGGTGCTATGATTTGTTTGTAGACGGCCAGTTTGTTCACCCTTGAGAGGCGGGATCTGCGGCAAATCAGTGGATACAGACACCTAACCAAGGCAGAACACTTGATTACGGTTTTCTCTACATGCGAACGGAAAAGGAGCTTTTCATCGAACAACATCCCGAGATAGGTTACTTCGGCAGACCACTCAACCTTCTGGCTGTTTGAGTACTTTTTTTGAAACAAATATTTGTTTCAATTTTCGCCATAGGTTTTTAATTTTCGCCACCCTTGAGATCTAATTTTCGCCTCAATCAGGAAATGCATGATCCTAGTCTAATGTTTCATCGTTTAACTACTCAGCCACGAAAATAATGAACAAAAATAGCTTATAAGCCAAACTAACGTTTATTTAAACTTAAATGACAACAAAAATGAGAAACATATTGCTAGTTGCATTAGTTGAAGTATAGATAATCAATACAGCTATTGAGTGAGTAGAACTAGTTACAATGAAGATTTCTTTCTGCGTGCTTTATCCTTCAGATATTGCTTCAAGACTTTTTCTTCTTGCTTCTTTTTCTTTTCCGCTTCTGCTTCAATTTTTTTTCTGCATTCGAATGAGTTTCCTGTTCTTCTTATCTTCCTCAGTTCGCCTTTTCTCTTCTTCCTTTTGCGTGAATTCTTGAACAAATTAATCGGAAGTCAACACGTGATAGCGTTGTGATTTATATTCTCGCTTAGAAGATCGTTTTAGAGATGGCGGTGTATTGAGAAAAATTTTCAATGGTGTTCTGGAAGGTCCTGGAACTGCACCATCAGGAGTCAACATTGGTGTTTGGTCAAGACTAGTTTGTGGTGTTCCTGACTCTTCAGGTGTGTCTTTCTCGCCTGGAGGAGCTTCAACTACCTCAACATAATCAAAGTCACATAGTTGTCTATTGCCTTCGACGCTCTCTCTATCTGTTTTCATTATGTCCGGGTAGTTTTGCTCAATGACTGAACATATTCTATACAATGCCGTATCTTCGTCGCTGTCCAGACAAACAAAATCTGCTCTGTACTTTTTCATCCTTGCCCCACCAATAGCTACGGCGCATTCTTCGAGTGTTCTTTTCGCATGTTGTAGCTGACGAGACATCTCTGTAGGTTCCAGAGTCGACCCGCGTTGCCTAGGATCAGACGGCGGTTCTGAAGACTCATCATGAACGGCAGACTTTTTTATGTACTTGGATGAATCAATTGCATTTCGATTCCACGGATAAAGTCCACATACTTTGAATCCGTTCTGAATGGATTTCACAGTAAGAGAATTCCGTAGACAATCTTGCAATACTGTGGCAAAATTGTGCGCATTCACAGAACTTTCAGGATTTCCATCGCGAAACCGTTGAACTGACTTTGGCCAACCATTTTTCAATGGTTTAAATGCAGCGACATCTGCCGTCTGCATTATCCTGGTAACATTAGGATACAACGCAATCAAAATGATATTCAGCTCTCGACACATTTGTGAAGTCTCTACATTTATATGGCTACTGTGGCCGTCAATGATGAAAATTTCAGGTTTTTTCATCTGTTTAGCCATCAGATGGGGATCCAAGACATTTCGAATATAGTCACGAAAGACATTAGCAGTCATCTACCCATCAGACTTGGCGACTTGGTGATGCACCATTTCGGGGGAACCGAATCCACCACAGATTTTGGTATTGTTTTATAGGAATAAATGATAGTGGGAGGAATAGTTTCCCCAGAAGCGAAGAACGAAAACATTGTCGTTATGTTGAGTTTACTGGAGCATCGCTCAACATCGTAAACATTGCGACTCCCACGTAAAGCGAGAACGGTTTTTGTTTTGGGGTTCAATTCAAATGAAGTTTCATCTCCATTTATGATGCGCTGCGGATCTTGAAGTATTTCCGTAAGTCCTTTCGCAGTCAAGAAAGCTTCAATATTACCTAACCATGAATGTATATCAGATGGAGATAAAGCGGTACTAGCTTTTGTTACGAATTCTGGAGTCCTCAAAGAAATTTTTGGATGCCGTTTCAAGAACAGCTGCATCCATGTTCGACCAAAAATAACAAATAATAAATTAGTGATAATCTCATGAAGAAGCCAAAAATAATTCATTTTACCTGGAGAGATTTTTGGAAATTTCGTTGCTCTGGGGTTGGCACTCAAGATTTTTTTTTTCACTCTGTCCAGCAGCATCTGTTTCGTTACGGGAAAACCCCGTAAAGATCCATTCTTCAAGCTCGAGTTCCTCCTCTTGGGTCAAAACTGTAGCTGGACCTGGACGGAACACTGTTTGAGATTTCTTCGCAAGCCGCGACCGAATTGTCGATCATGGGATTCCGTAATGTTTGCATGCCTCAAGCAAGCTCATCTCTTTGCGCCAAATTTTATCAACCGAAGCCGCAATCTCAGCCTCGGAATATGTGTTCCGGTAACGTTTCGGCTTCTGAGTCTGATGTATAGTGAATAACTTAACAACTTAACAAATTTAGAGTTTATAAACAAAATTTGATAATAATTACCATTTTTACACAGCAGCGGAAAGGTGCAGCTCAACACTTGACTCAAACTTTTTGTTTACAAATAATTTTTGATAGTTCACACAAAGGAGGCGAAAATTAGCACTAGGCAGGGTTTCAATTCGAACAAAGAGATTTTGCCAGGGTCGATAATTAGAATCGTGTGAATTTTGTGTGCTATATTTCGCTACCTTTTATTTTCTAATTTATATTTAAAATAAATAGTCTTTGCACCAACCGTAACTGAATTTGTATAGTAAAGGGTGATACGGTCAAAATTTGGTCAAGGGAAAACGCGTGTAAATCGGTGAAATCGTTTATTTAAAAAATCAAATTAAATTTCTTTTTCAAGTTCAATTAGTATAAAATTCAGGAAAAATATTCAGTTAGGCTTCCGCTTTTCCAAATCCGAATTGCCGGGCCTTACGCTTGACCCCTGCCATCAGATTTTGTACAGCCACCTTGTCCACCTTCTTCGCCGCAGAAAGCCAGTTTGCCTTGAACTGCTGCTCGCCCTTAGCAGTTTTTTTGGTCTTCTTTAGGTTCCGCTTGACAATAGCCCAGTATTTCTCAATTGGGCGGAGCTCTGGCGTGTTGGGAGGGTTCTTGTCCTTGGGAACCACCTGCACGTTGTTGGCGGCGTACCACTCCATGGCCTTTTTACCGTAATGGCAAGATGCCAAATCCGGCCAAAACAGTACGGAACAACCGTGTTTCTTCAGGAAAGGCAGCAGACGTTTATTCAAACACTCTTTCACGTAAATTTCTTGGTTGACAGTCCCGGAAGCTATGAAAATGCTGCTTTTCAAGCCACAGGCTTGCCAAACCAGATATTTCTTTGCGAACTTTGACAGTTTCATGTGCTTGAAAACATCTGCTACCTTTCCCCTTCCTTTTGCCGTATAAATCTCCTGTCCCGGAAGCTGCTTGTAGTCGGCTTTGACGTAGGTTTCGTCGTCCATTACCACGCAGTCAAACTTCGTCAGCCTCCGGGATCGCGCTTTGGCCGTCGTATTTTGTTTATCATCGCGATTTGGAGTCACTACCTTCTTGTAAGTCGATAGTCCGGCTCGTTTTTTGGCTCGATGCACGGTTGTAGACGATACACCCAGCTTATTTGCGGCATCTCGGAGAGAGAGGTTAGGGTTTCGCTTGAAACTACCGGCAACTCTCTTTGTCGTCTCAGCGGCTTCCGGTTTTCGATTTCCCCTCGATCCAGACTTCCTGGCTGTCGACAAACGTTCCCCAAACACTTTAATTACATTTGTAACGGTTGATTTGGCAACTTTTAGCGATTTTGCCAACTTTGCGTGCGAGTAGCTCGGATTTTCGCGATGCGCGAGCAAAATTTTGATACGCTGCTCTTCTTGCTTGGACGGCATTTTGACAACTGAAGAGTGAATTCCAAAATCAAAATAGGAGCAACATTCTACACACACACACCTTCAAAATGAGGGGTGTTCAGGTTTTTTAAATGCAAAATTGAAAGAAATACGTCAAGTTGATATTGACCAAATTTTGACCGTATCACCCTTTAAATGATGTAAAAAAGATAATGTATGTGCACTTTACTTCCAATATGATTGGTTTGCAGAACTTTCCCATTGATTTCTAAATTGCCATTTTTTCAATGGATCGAAAAATAATACAATATTGAATCACTATTTTTTAGACACAGAGTTTTTCGACAATAATATCAACTACCGTATAATTTGAATACATTGAAGTATCGATAACAATTTTTTGCATCGTTTTGTAATGTGGTTAGGGTTATAAAATTATTGTTCTTTAAAAAAATTGGGCATTGTTTTACCTAAAGGCGAAAACTAACACAGTGGCGAAATATAATACTTCTACCCTACAAGATGGAGCCGGTTTCAGTTTGGGCGATTGCCGATGGAGGAACATGATCGCTTGTGTTCTGGAGGCATCGATTTTGATTTTCCACGTGGTGGCATAATCAGCAAAGGCGTTAAGGCATCGTTGAAGTTTGTTCGTTATTTGTAAGTCCGTTTTCACAACTCTTGATCTGGAGCGAGCGTATCATCAGGATGCGGTGGAGGAAGCAGACATTCCCAAAACGGCGGTCATCACATCGTTTGGCTTGTTTGAGTTCACCCGCATGCAATTTGGGTTATGTAACGCAAGTCAGACGTTCCAGCGCTACATGAACCGAATCTTTGGTGATCTTGATTTCGTTGTTGTCTTTATAGATGACATATGCATCGCTTCTGAATCCCTTGCTCAACACCAGGAGCATCTACGCATAGTGTTTGACCGCCTACGCCAGCACGGACTCGTTCTAAATTTGGGTAAGAGCGTGTTTGCCCAAAAGGAAGTGGAATTTTTAGGATACCTGATCAGCAGTGATGGAGTGCGGCCGCTCCCGTCACGCGTCCAAGCCATTATGGACTACAAGAAACCGACAACAGTCAAGGAACTCCGTCGCTTTCTGGCACTCGCCAACGGCTACAAACGCTTCGTTCGTCATGCATCCGACATCCAAGCTGAGTTGCAGAAGCTTATTCCCGGGAACAGGAAAAACGACATACGTAAACTACAGTGGACAGATGCAGCTTCATCAAGCTTCGAGCGTTGTAAAAAATCATTAGCGGAGACAGCACTGCTTCACTATCCTGACTCGTCGAAACCATTAGCTCTGATGATCGATGCCTCAAATATTGCTGCGGGGGCTGTCTTGCAGCAGCTAAATGGTCAGAATTGGGAACCACTCGGATTTTATTCCGAAAAATTTTCGATGTCCCAAACGAAATACTCTACTTTTGGCCGTGAACTGACTGCGATGAAAATGTCTGTGAAATATTTTCGGCACTTCCTTGAAGGACGCAACTTCACGATCTTCACTGACCATCGCCCACTAACATACGCGCTAACAACCGATTCCAGCTCTCGGCTACCGCATGAAGAACGATACCTACGTTTCATCTCGGAATTTACTACGGATATACAACATGTCAGTGGAAGTGAAAATTACGTCGCCGATGCATTGTCTCGTGTGGAGAGTATACTAGCGCCTACTTCGGTGGACTATGAAGAAATCGGACGAAAGCAGAAAAACGACGCGGAGCTTCAGCAGTTGATGCAATCCAAATCTACTTCGCTGAAATTTGAAGCAAAACGGATGAGTGGTTGTTCTCAACCGATCTACTGTGACGTCTCGACCGGAAAACCACGACCTTTCGTTCCAAGTACTCAACGGAGAACCATTATGGAATGCCTACACGGAATTTCTCACCCAGGAGCACGAGGCAGCAGGAAGTTAATCTCCGAGCGATTCGTTTGGCCAGCTATGAACCTTGAAATAAATGAGTTTGTCAAACACTGCGTCGACTGCCAACGGTCGAAGGTGCATCGACATACCGTCTCTCCGTTGGGAAAATTTGACCTACCGAAGGCTCGTTTCCAACACCTTCATATTGATCTGGTTGGTCCTTTGCCGCTGTCACAAGGATACCGCTACCTACTGACCATGATTGACCGTTTTACCAGATGGCCCGAAGCGGTTCCACTTGTCGATATGACTGCAGCATCTGTGGCTCAAGCACTGTACTCAACATGGATAGCAAGATTTGGAGTCCCAGAAAACCTGACAACCGACCAGGGACGGCAATTTGAGTCCGATCTCTTTCGGGAGTTAACGCGAATGTTAGGTGTTCACCATATTCGTACGAATGCCTATCACCCACAAGCGAACGGCATCGTAGAACGTTTTCACCGAACATTGAAAGCATCGATAATGTGTGTAAACTCTAAGAATTGGTACGACGAACTTCCAATGATTCTTCTGGGACTAAGGGTGGCATTTAGGGACGACCTGCAGTGCTCGGTTGCGGATATGGTTTACGGTCAGGCTTTACGGATTCCTGGTGAATTCTTTCAGTCTGCACCTGGAGATATCGACCGATCGGAGTTTGCCCAAATGCTTCACCGTACGTTCGACAATATAAAACCGCACGATACTAAACGTCATGGAGAACGACAAGTTTTTGTCAACGCCAATTTGAAAACATGTACACATGTATTTGTACGAGTGGATTCTGTGAAGCGACCGTTGCAGCATCCTTATGAAGGTCCATTCAAGGTAATAAGACGAGATGATAAGTTCTTCGACGTACTTATTTCTGGAAAACAGCAGCGCATTTCAGTCGACCGAATAAAAGCGGCTTTCACTTGTAATCCGGATTTGCAGAAATATCCTCAAGATGATCATCGTACGAAAGTTACACAATCTGGACATCGCGTAAGATTTTTGGTGTAACTGGAGGGGCCCTGTGGCATCGCTCGGCAACACTGGTCAGCCTGGCTTCCATCGGGTCGTCGTCGAAGAAAAAGAACTCAAGCTGTCAATCTTTGCTACGCAGCTATCAACGCGCGAACGTGGTTGTTTTTCTATTGAAAGTAAAAATAAAGATTTTAAGTATTTCGTAACTAATCGTTCTTTATTCCGTGTCCGATCGCTACAAGCTTTTAGAAGAAGTTTCTTAGAACATATAAACAAAAATAGCGAAGGAAGATAAACCAACTCTTGACGGAGCCTTCATGCAGCCGAGTAACAAATTCAATGCGTTCACTGAGGTGCACTTGCGCACGGATCAAAATGTTATGCGCAGATTCCACGCAAAACTGAAGGATTTCGGTACATTTTAGTTTTCCATAAACCAAGCGATTTTTTTTACTTTAAATTTCAACTTTTCTCATATACAGGTATTTATTGTAGTCACTTCTTCTTTCTTTCTTACCGTCTTTAATTTGAATTGTTCCATCTCAGTGGTACAAACTCTTTACACCAGAATCCATTCATTTTCCTTTTCCTTTGTCTGTCGCTCGTTCCCAAAAAAAAAAAATTATAGGGCAAATGATTTTCCTTTCTCTGAATCTCCAACACATACAACCAACTACTAATATCATTGTTGCTCTTCCCCGGTGTGACAACGTGGATATAAAGCGTGATCTTCTTCTTTTATTACTTCCAGCAATTTGTTTTTTTTTCTGGCATTCTATGTGATTCTCTTATTAGCTGTTTGTTTTGTTGTTGTTAGTTGTCTTTCGTTAATAATTACGCTAGATTCAATAATAATCATCTTGATCCTTTGGTATCAAGCATTCTATGGCATCTCACCATCAGACGATACTTAGTACCGATCCAAAAGTAAAAAATATATAGTATAGAGGTGTATAATATAGGTGTTTTCTTTTTCTTTATTTTTTTTTTGCTAACATATCCGCTGCTTATACCGCAAACGTTTGTCTCTGTTTCGTTTTTGTTTCTAGATTTTCCATTTTACTAAGTGTTTGTTTTTCTTTCTGTAACATTCCAGCTTTCGAATTAGAAGCGAACAGAAAGTTTTGAAAACGGTTTTGATTTTTGCTTTTTTTTTCGCCAGCGACAAACATGTTCTCTACAAAGTATGATGGGTGTTTGTGTGTTTTGTTTGATTGTAATTTGACGTTTGGAACCTTCGATAACTGGGGGGAAAAGGTGCACGTCTCCTTATAATATATATCAAAAGGGTGCTTCAAATAATCGTAACCGTTTGTATCACCGTAGCCATCGGTAACGAGGTTACACGTGTGCAAAACCACTAGTGTGCTACACCAAATACGGCAGATAGGACAACGCAGAGTACTTATGAAATTTGATGTTGGTGGCAACAATCGTTCGAAATTCGAAGAAACGGTTTACACTGAAGGAACTTCCAAGGTCCAAAGGGATTTCGTACAACGAATGGGATGGGGACATTTTTTGTTTGTTTCGGGGTTCTTATGCTAAAAAATGTACCAATGATTATCGGTTTTCCTCAAAATGGATCTCCATTTGTCGAACTTATCGTACTAATTGACTTCCAAAATACTTCGCCAAACGATGAACAATACAAACATTAGGTGATTGTTGCTCACACTTATATGATATTCGAAAAAGACGGAGAGGAAGCAAGGAACTGGAAAAGGGAGGATGTGGATGGAAGGGAGAGGGGGTAGTGTGCGAACCTATACGACTAAAAATTTACAAGTGGCAGCAGCGTCGGTTGGACGCTGAGACGGCGACACCTAAATCGCACTCACTGAACCTCATCGGTCCGTTCCGCGTTTAATCCCTGATCTTATGTTGTTTTCTGTTGTCTGTTATTCAACTGTCCATACACACACAAACGCGGTCCAGGGCCTGTGGAGCGATAGCTTCTATTTACATAACTAATAACAATTATTATTATCATTATCATCATCATCCATTGATGGTTCGTTCCGTCCGTCCAAGAACGGGCTAGCGGTCCTCCCTCTTTGTATCGCTAGAACCAACCAAGGTCAACTGCCGGATCCAGAAATGCACCCAAACAAAAACAAAACGAAAAACGAAAAAGACAATTGATAATCTGTGCGAGAGATTGCTTTTACAAATTGGTAAAAATCGAATAGATTGATTACACATGATCATAGGCGATTGGGATTTTTCGATGATACTAGAATTTCCGTCGCTTCTTATTTAGTTCTTCTAGGATAAGTGGGGATATGCCAGGAAATGAAAAATTACTCGCACCAACTAACCTTGTGATACATCCCGGATCTAGTTGGACCTCCGCAGCGGATGGTGATGATCGGTGATGTTTGCATCATTCGAGTGCATCGTGTTGTAGCTCATTGCTCCGTAGATTCCGGCCCCGGACATGGCCGGCAGTTCGCGGCGGCCACTGTCCCGTTCGCCACCGGACGTGCTGCTGGCCCCACTGCGCACTATCAGAGTGCTGGTCGAAGCTTCGGCCGATGCCGCACTGACGGGCAGCACGTATCGCAGATCGGACAGTTGCTTTTTGTCGTCCTTCGTCTTGTCTACCACCATATCCGTCGAGGAACTGCTGCTGCTGCTACTCCACACCGTTCCTCGAGTGCCTTCCGTGAGGATGTATTTGAAGAATTCATATGTAGACCAACAGATGGCGGTAGCGGGCATTTGGTACAGCACCCGAGCCTGTAATCCCCTGAAGAAGCCCATGAAGCCTGCCGTATGGTAGATCTTCTTGGCCGCCTGTATGAGGCCGGTGGTCTTACCGGCACCATCTTCTTGCGTGTTCAGCAGCGTCTTGCACACATCGAGCGGTGTGGTGAGGGCTGATGCAGCCGCTCCCGCAGCACCACCCGCCAGCATATGTACCGGAGGGTTATACTTGTTGTCTTTGTTGAACAGCTTCTGGAAGAATTCGTACGTCGGGAACTGGATGGCCGAGTACGGGATGTTCATCACCAGCTGCGTCGAGTAGGATCGGTAGAAAGCTCGCATGCCTTCGGTCAGGTAGACATGGCGGGCACAGTGCAGGATCGATCTGTAGGGTGAGTTGTACATCTGAAGCCTCTGCTTGACGACGTCGGCCGGATTGGAGATGGCATCGTGCACGAGGGTGGCTAACGCGGCCGACACCATGTAGTTGATTTGATCTCGATCCGAGAAGCGCCCGATCGTCTCCTTCGAGTATTCGTACGCTCCGAAGTAGAGGGCGTGTGCGGGGCCCGCCCCGGCAACGACGGCCATCACACCGCGGAACGGTCGCAACAGGCCCTCCGTTCGGACCATGTCGCGCATCGTCGAAGCGATTGTACCGTTGGCGTGCATGTGCGTGAGCGACTGCATCCGGGTCTTGACCGAGTCCAGCGGATACATCACGCAATGCTCCATGACGCCGGCGATCGCACCGGCCGTCATGTTGGTGGCTACACTGGTCGTCGGCAGCGATTCATATTCGTCTGGATTCATGACATACACTGGCAACTGGCGGAGTGCTCTGCAGAGGGAGGCTTGGTCACACACCGGTTCTGGTCGATTTCAGTGTCGATGATGAGTTCGGAATGCCCCGGGTAGCAGGAGATTCCCACGGTAGTTTGCACTGTTTCACACGGGAGGTTCGTAAAGGGCCGTTTTACGCTAGTAGCATTTATGTATATCAGGAACAATCTGGAAAAGAAGAGAAGATAATGAATTTAGTAAATTGTTTAGTTGAATAGTTCGGTAAACATATGCAGCAATGGACCGCTTTTTCAGTGGTCTTATTGCACCAAAGAATACCTTAAACATACTTTTTGAAGATGCATGATAAAGATTTGAAATTACGGTGATGTGAAATTATTGAAAAATAAAAGTCTGATGCGGATCATTGCTGTAATAACTTTCAACGTTCTGCCTAAGCACCATTGTAGATTTATGATTTGTATTTAACCGCTTTACCATTGACATTTATTTCTGGCAATATTGGGCTAATTAAGAAGCTTTTGTTAGAACAAAGAGTAAATTAGATCTGGATTCACTTTGGAAAGTGATGCGATGTTTTAAAGACTCGTAAGAAAATAGTTCGACCCTATCAACTCAATAATGTCTGATCTTTGATCTTTTGCTCAGTAAGCAAAAACGGTCGCTATTACATAGGTCACCAAACCCCTCACATCACAACCAACTACTACTAACGATGATTGATCAAACGCGGAAGCATGAAGCTGTTCAAATGGAATCTATTTGATAAATAATGTGGTCATCGAGTTTATCATCGATGGTCGTGTTTAGCAAGAGCAGCAGAAAAATGATCACTAAGCAAAAACGGTCCCCACTAGACCACCAAGTCCCTCACATCGTGTGTTGGGTATAACCATTCATACTTTTTCGCGAGGATTCAACTAATATGATTTACGATCAATATCGATAGGTCTTTCCACAACGCACCTCACTGCCGCGGCTATGCGCCACTCTTCCAATCCACCCGATCAAGGTTCACGTCACACTATACAGACCACAAACCCTTGCACAAATACACACACAGCACACAGTGGTCGGAAATGGCAAAATCACGAACTTAATTGAATTGTGTATAAACTATTGACTTAATCTAAAACGTGTCTTCAGACAAAATGTTCACATTTTTTCACATAAGTATTGCCTACAATTTTACAATGTCAAAAATATGTCATGGCCTACTATAAATAAAAAATTAAAAACCTTTCTTTTACCCTTAAAGAGATAGAAGGATACTTTTTAGGGCAAAGCTGTAGAGCTGCTCAAAATATGAAACTGTGTGGAGAATACCAATTTTCTATGTCTAATAGTTTTGGAGATATGGATCGTTTTCTATGGTTATCCCTTTAAATTTAGTTTTTAATTACTAACTTTTTATACGAGAATTTTTCAAGCAAATAATGTTCTAGACAAACGTGAAAAAGTAAAACTGTTAACGGTGTTTAATGAGTCACGTCAAGAGAAAAACTGTTGAACTCGCATCACGGTTTTCGAAAGATTCCCTTTCTTTTCACTTGGCAACAGAGGACTCCTACATCAACTTCAAATGACTTTTAGCGAGAAAAAAAAATAGCGGTGTAGTAAATCATTATATAAGCGATTTAATAAAATTATCTTAACCAAAATAGTAGAAATTCTCATAAGTGATCATTACCAAACGTATCCCATGACAATTTATTGCTCACTGCGTGTTTATGATCATTTCTTCGATTATATTTTATATTTTTTTTGCAATACCTTTCGTACATCTTTCATAGCATCGTAATGTTTGTTTACTTTGCACGATAGGTAGCCGGTTTGACAGTTCAATAGGTAGACTTGGCTTCACTCTTGGCGTGACTCATTACACACCGACTCTATCCCTCTCCTTTACAAATGCGTGACGTAATTTATGGATGGCCCGTTAGTAAGAAGGGTCAGATCTGATCATAGATGGATTAATTCAAGTTTTTTTGCTTTCGCAAATTTCAACGTTTTTGCGATTTTTTTAGTTTGATCACGTCGGATTTTCAATCAATTCGAGCAAAACAATGTTGTTCCATCTTTGATCTATCATAACATTTTAAATGCTTCTAAACATGCAATCTCTTGGAATTTACATGAAATTCTCTTGAAGCACTCCTTATATTTTTTTCAGAAATTTCTTCTGGTGCTCTTGGAACACTACTCATAGTTTCTTTGGAAATATGCTACTTATTTCTTGCCAAACCCTCCGGGCAACTCTTTTTTGAAAATCCTTCAAAATTCGTATAAATTCTCTTAAAACAGGAGGACATACCAAAATAATTCAAAGAGATCCTTTTCCGGGCATTTTTAGAAGAATTCTGAGGTGAAATCCAAGCAAATTTTAGGAAAATACATTTCTTAATTCTAAATGGCATACCAAGAGATTTCGGAAACATGTAACAAGCAATGCTGACAAATGTCATTTTCAATGAAATATTTCACGCGAGATACCTACTTTTGTCACCATCATTGGATGAGAAAACGATGATAGAGATTTTCTTCAAAATCTCATCGATTTTTTTTTGTCATGACAGAACATGACAGTGTTGTGATCATCGCTATTACTGGCTCACTTATTGATATTATTGTTACTTGTACCGCGAAATTCTTTAAAATATATTCACTTTACTAATTACATACTGTTGCTTGCCTTAATTCGTCTAAATCAGTTAGCGAATTCTTAGAAAAATTATGAAGAGAAATTAAGAAAATTCTCTTAAGAATAATTAAGAGTGAATTTCAAGAAATTTCTGGAGGAATTTCACAAAGTGTTCTGCACAGAATTCCGAGACTTTAATGGAGGATTATTGAGGGAAATCCTGATCGTTAAAATAATTCTGAAGACTTCTTGGAATTGTTCTAATCCAATCCTGGACAAATTTGCAAGGATATCCAAAGATGAGTTCCCATGAAACAATTTAGTAAATTCAATCATCTAGCGTAACAGATCAAAATCGACACGAATCTTGATGAAACTTGCAGCACTTCAAAAGGAGCATATTTTAAACAATTGTAAAGGTAAATGATGCGTCCAGTTTCTAACTGACCCAAGCATTAACATTCGATGTATCTGACTTAATTTTTATTAAAATAACTAGATTTAATTTTATTTTAAGATTCCATTCGAATTCCCGGCTATTGCCAAACAGTTTTCGATGTCTGATTAATTCCCAATTCGCCCAGCTCAGCGGCTTCGTACATCTAAATAATTGTTGCTACCTAATAATTTTCTTCAATCCCGGTTAACTCTGTTATAAGGATTTCGACTTGACTGATTCACGGGCAACTCCATACCATAGGACGATAACGATTGTTATGCTTCATGCATTTTGCTGCGTTTCTGCAGTCAATGCGATGAAGAAAAATAATATACGAGTGCAAACATGATAATGGCTTAGAAAGCTCACAATTAACAACTGTGGAAGTACTCAAAGAACACCAAATTGAGGTCAGGTGTAAAGTTTCAGTAGGAACGTAATATCTAAAAATAAGAAAATTACAAGTTCAGTTTCGTCGGCAAAACCCTGTGGGTATGACATTCCGTTTTCTTGTAGCTTTATTGAAGATAAGCTTTTGAATATCACAGGAAGAAGATAACCTACGACCTTATCTGGCAAAGGGATAGCAACTGATAATAAAACGATCCCGGAAGTGCATTTACCAAGGAATAGAACATTTTGCCACCAAAAAAATACAAGTCACTGCAATTGCCATTTAGTTTAAAAATATAAATGCTCGTCTCGTATCCAAAAACGGGTCACATAATTCAAAAACTTTGCTTAAGATCTTGATAATTCGTGATTTATTGAAACACAAAATATGACCAACATGACACAAACAAAGCAGTATAACTCTATACGCACGCGATATCAGCATATCACCATCTCACTACACACTCACTTGCACGTGTATTCCGGTATATTCCTTGTTTTTAATCAAATCCGCCGTTCGTTCTATCCATCCAGTTCTACGAACTCCACACACTCTAATTGCTACAAGGTCAACAAAGTTCTTCGATGTTTTGCAACCACTATCCCGTGATCAATCCGTGAATTAATTACTTTCGATCGCTCTCCTGTTCGTCACTCGAGTGTAGGTTTGCAAATGAGCACACCGGCGAAAAACGACCATTCTATCCCGAGCGTGCTATCTCATCACAGGTTCTTATCAAATCACCGTAGGCAACTCGTTGCTGCGCGTTGTTATCTTGACAACAATTGCTATCAGCAAACGACCAATCGGAAACCACTCACCGCCGACCATCTCCATCATCACCATCGTCCACAGCAAACGATGCCTACTTGAGTGAGTGTTCTCTCCTGAAGTATCATCGTCGGCGTCGTCGTAGTAGTAGTAGTCGTGTTGTTTACTCGTTGACCACTTACGCGGGTAATCGCAGCAACCCAATGCTGGCTATTTCTGTACACGCTCGGCATTGTACTGCAATATAAAACCATTGACTGTCGAAATTATGTCATGGATCCGGCAAAACCAAACCATATGGTTCTTATCAGTCAAGCCCCATTGCACCGTGGTCAGTATCACAACCAACCGGCGAAACCAGACCGAAGTGGTTTTCGTTTATTGCCACAACAAAAACAACTCGTCCAGTCACTCACTCGCTCACTCACTCGGCCAATCGATCAGCTTGTGGCGGCGGGCTATGATGAAGATTACCGCGTCATCGGACAAAGTGGCACATCGGCGATTATCGTAGGTGTGTGACTTGCTGCCCGTCTCCAGACCAGACTGCGGCGCGGATACGTCGATAAAGATCACGAGGGATTATTGGGATTATGGTTGCACAAGCGATTCGCACGTCACGAGACTCCTTCACTGGCTTTCGGGATTGCACGAGAGTGCTTCCGCCGTTCGAGTCGATTATCGCGATCCTACACTTGTTCCAGCTGTGGAATGTCAATATGTATACGTACACAAATTAATGTTAGCAGCTACTGAGTAGTAGACGAATGGTGATTGGGGAATAATAACGTTCAATTATAGAGCGAGAGCAATACAATTGACACAAACAAGTGATACATTGTGCAAATGGACTGGTGGATGATGTGGTGAATGTTATTGTCGAAAGGGATGATAATGCTGATTAACAACAATACATATGTGCTAGAGTTTGGTTCTCTTCGGTACAGTTCTATGTCAGGGCT